TTTTCAGTCATAGTTTTTGAACTATTTTCAATGCAGGAATTTGTTCCTGCATTGACGATTGGAATAAAGCGAAAAAGATCAGAGAAATTTATCGAATTAATGAAATTTAATTTGTACAAATTTTTGCGAATTTGTTACGAACAAAATTAATTTATAAAATTCATAAAATAAAATAAAATTTCTTTTAAAAGCAATTTATCAGTAACGCGAATTTATAAGTGTTATCATTGAATTCATTAAATAAAAAGAAATTTTATGACATAAAGTAAATAAAAAACAAGGAGAAAACCAAATGTGTTGACTCTTTCACTTTTATAGACCTTATTTATAAATGTCATTCCATGTTTTTTTTCGCCATTATCATCCTATTGACAAGTGAACTGAGGTCTTCGATGGCGAAACCTTCATACAATATTTATTTTAAAATTTTATGAATTTTTTTATTTAAAGCTGTGATGTCAATCGCTGAATGGCAATGTGGCAATGCTTAAGGCGAAATATGGTATGAGTTCAATTTCAAAGAACTGAAATATGTCAAAAAACTCCTAAAGAGTCAGTTTGTTGATAATATCAGAATAAATTAGGCTTGCAAACGTGGTTATGTTACGAAACACATCACAGCTTTAAATAAAAAAGTTAAGAACGAACCTTAACATAGTTTATCATACCTCTTGTGCATTCCATTATTTTCAATAATTTCTTTTTATAATTCTTTATTAGAATAATATATTCTAATCCTTCTTTTTAGAATTAAGAAGGTAAAATAAAAAGTTGAAAAAAAATATAAAAATGGATGTCAAAAATTGAAAAGTTAATGAAGATAACAATAAAATTATATAATAACCTTAAATTTCTCGTGAAAGAAATCAAGAATTGGCAAAGATAAAATATATAATGGAAATAAGTAATCCATTACCAAAATTTTCATTGAAAATTCAGTGTAGCCAATGATTAGTGGTCCATGATAATGACCCAGAAAAGATAATCAGTGAGTGCCCTATCAGCATACGACAGCGCATTGCAGTTATATGGGTTATGAACAATGATCAATTATGTTTGTTAGCACTCACGAGTTGTGGTCCACATCATAACAAATAAGCAACAAAAATTCACCTTCTTAATAAAGTAAATAAAATTTTTTTTTTTCTTATATACCGGACAACGGACGTAAAACACCAGTTTAAAACGGAAATTTTTCATTGGCTCAAGAAACGTTCATGAAGTATTTCAGTTATCTGGGAGCCACTCCCGCTCGCCAAACAAAGATGAAATTCCAGCAGCATTAGAAGTGCCTTCAATCTGGCATCCGTGAATTGCCATGAAATTATTCTTAAAATGAAAGCTCGTATCTACCTGGTTATTTGTGCGTTATTCGTCTCTACGACTGGGAAGCCAGTGAAAGAGAAAGAAATGAGGAAGCCATCTACTTTTGACCATATCTGTCTTAGGTGTATGCTTCGTACTATTGAAACGCTATTGAAATCTCACGTAATAGCACCATCAAACAGCGTCTGTATAGAGTACATCATTATTCTGGTTATACACTGGTTGAATCATGTTCTTCGTTGCTTATCACAGGAATTACTCATAACACTAAATCCTGCGATGGATGCTGTCAGAAACATGGAGGCCCAGTGAAGATGTGGAGAGACTTCAAACGCACAGGAGGCCACAACGAAGTATGGTCTTAAGCGATAGAAAAAGGGAAATGGGGTCGGACCGTAAGATTCGGAAAATGCCTTATGGTCGTCAGTCAAACCAGTAACGATGCAAGCTCCCAAAAGAAGCGATTATGATATTTGAAATGCTTTGACAGGACTTTCGCTACGTTTAGGCGACAATAAGGAAGGTAGAAATTCAAAAATATATCCATCATTTATTATCATCACTTCCATATGATAGAATCTTTTTCTAAAAAAAATATTTCATTGTTGATTTATTCGAACTTCAAATAATTCGTGCTCGATTTCTATCCGCTAACTCGTGTAAAGGCGCCAACCAAAGTGGAATGGAATGCGGATACTGCGAATCTTTCAAACGAATTTGCTCAAAACAATAAGAATACATTCATAAAATTTGACTTGGCCACCCTTATGAATTGATTCAACAAACATAAATTGGTTGAATGAAGCAGTTTTCTTCTAATATTTGGTTGAAATAATCTGTTATATTGCCAATTTTCTAAAGAAATAAATTTAGTTTTCATGTTTTTCTTACTGGAATAACTTCGCCACCTCCTTTGAATTTTTCATAAAACGATTGATTAAAATTCTTCGTAGAACGAAAAAAAGAACCGTTTGAAATCGAATTATCATCTAAAATTTTCATTCCATCTGCTTAACTTAATTACTTTTTCATTTTTTTGCGTACTTTCATCATTTTCGCCAATTTTATTCTAAAGTTTGAAGAGAGGAAATTTCCATGGATTCGTTCCTATAGATTCTTTCTTAGAGGAAATGAGCTAAATCACGGATTTTTCATAGCAAATTTAAAAAAAACAAGTCAATAATTTAAAAAATAAAGTATTCCAACTGAAAATGAATTAAACGAATGGCTGCCATTAGCCTTTTATTTGATATCAGAAATTGTCAAATTTTTCCATTATTTAAGTAAAAATAAAAATAATTCTTCGCAAAAAAACAGAAAATATTTGAAATTTGATTAGGAATTTTATTTCAGAAAAAATGTAATAGAAAAAATCTCCAAACACGTTTCATGTAAAAACACTCGTAAAGTTTTTAGCAATACAGCTTCATTGCCTAATAATCTTAAACAATTCAGGATGGAAGTTATCATAGCGAAATCTCAGCATTATGAAAATTACGATTTTAGTATCGTAGACCCATATAAATCGTCCAAATACTCCCTCGTAAAGTAATCCGACTAATAAGCTCTTCTGAGCGAAACCAACCAGAAATGGTAAGTGGTGCTAACTTAATTATAGCGAATTATGGACTAGAAATTATGGATTATTGACTGAATTTCTTTTTTGATTTTGAATTTTTGAAAACAAAATAAAATTGGTGGTTATTGGCATTCCTGATTTGAATGTCCGACCGTGGAAAATGTTAAATTTCCTACAGTTTCCCACTTTATGACAACTTGGTTTTGCCATTGATAAAAAAACTCCTCCTTGCCATGAATTTTTATACTATTTTTGCATTTCAAAAAAAGAGAAAAAAATTCTTCAAAGATAAATTTCATTAAAAGTCGATCCCATTTATCCACAAACACGGGCAGAAATGAGGATTTTGAGGGTTGGATTTTTGGATTATAATGAGGATTTTTTGGAAAAAGATATTCTTCAATACAAGACAGAAATCCATTTAGAAAATGAGTGGAAAATTCGAATTCTTTTAAATTCTTTAAAAATCTAAATCTAAATTTAAGATCTAATTTAAGATAAGATTTAAGTTTAATTAATTTTTATCAATTGACGCTGGTCGCTTTCCATTTAACTAAATATAAACATCAGAAGAAGAATTTAAAGGTTTCCATTTGATCTTAACCTCAGTTTAACCTTTAACCCTTCTAACTTTTTTTCTAACCTTTAATTTCCAAAACTTTTTCGATTTAGAGATATCGCGGTCGGACCGCTCTTCTTGAAGAAGTATTAAAAATTGTTATTAAAAATTAAATCCAGATGGCAAGTTGTTTATAGTTTTAGCCTCAAGTGATTCACTGGTCTCATACTGATTATCGCTAAACCAGTTAAACCATAAACGTTGAATGCCAAAAGAAAACAAGTATAAATATAAATTTATATAAATAAAAATATAAAAAGATGAAAATTTTGCAACAGATGTTGATGAGTAGCATCTTAGAATAAAATTGAAAGAACAACGACTTATCTTGCAGCTAATCCATGGATTATCTTCATTGCAAACGTTTTCCAGGATAGGATTGTTGTCTAATATTATTTCATATCAGCAATATTGGTGATATTATTCATTCTTTGGTAGTTTTCATTAGTTTTTAAACTTAAAAGCCAAGCACGGCGGATTCAATTGTTATTTGAGAATATTAAAAAGTTCATTGTGGTTTGTGTTACTTGTTTTATTAAAAATTTCTTCTCATCGAAATCTGATGACTATATGCTTAAATTTTTTAGAATACGCCAATTTCCACTTTGATATAAATAGTAATAAATAGATATAAATAGATTTTAAATGTCTTGGATCCACTCTTATACCAAATGGCTAAGTAGGAAACGAAATTACAGTGCAAGCATTTAGAAATCCATTCTCTCATCTGACGAAGCCTTTAAATCACCTAGAAATCGTCAAAACAAGTTCGCACCTATCTTATTACAATGAGACCTATTATATAGCTGCGAAACAAGACTGGAAGATATTACGAAGCTATCCACCTTTGACCCCTTATCACTTAACATACATTTTACATACATTTTACATATTCACTTGGCACATATGATTACATTACTCTTCATTCATTCACTCAAACTGCATTCAATCTGCATTCAAAATATCGTAACGGAGCATCGTCTACGTTGGTTAGGCTATATATGCCCCGTCAATAATCGTTAATCTTGTGATGCATGGCGTCAAAATCAAGGTGTACCAATCGAGATCTGGCCTGATACAGTCAGGAGATCTTGAACGTGTAGGCGAGAGAGCGAAGAAAGGAGTGACTCCTTTTAATATCAGGCATAACATCGATCGGTTTGTATGGCTTAGAGTTGTAGCTAGCCTAACCAGTAATGGACACCTGTTAGAAAAAGAAGATTTATCGTAAATGTTTTAAATATTTCTCATAATTTTATGAAGATTCATAGATAATATTTCGAAAAAAAAGAAAAAATTCCATCAATTTCCATCTTCTATGCGAAAAAAATTAATTGATCTTAAATTTGATTAATTGATCTTATATCATAAATGTAGTTTAAAATTATGAATTATGTAGTTATAAATTATGAATTACGAATGCGAAGACAAAATTATTAAAGGAATCGCTAGAAAAAATTTTTGACACTTCATAAATTATTCCTTTTTCTTCTCTACAACTGCACTTTTACGTTTTTGCATGATCGCTGAAGCCATCCAACCAATTATCGGACATGTCCAATACACAGTAATAAACCAAGAGGTCGTTAGCCCATCACAGCCATACCAACGAGATGTAGCCACGATAGGATTTAAACCAGGAATGCCAATAATCACCAAAGCTAATTAAAGTAAAAAATTACTACAAGTATCGAATGAAAGTTGAGTTGATATAAAAATATTATTTAAATACATAAGCCTTCAAGCAATAAAAATTAAAACTGAAGGAGTAAAATTTTTTTCTATTACGTAAAGTTGAGATGGTGTGTTGCCTCAGCAACATTAGAAAATTTTAATATTAAACTAAGGTTAAATAAAGAGGAACAATTTTTTTCTAATTATTTCTGCAAAATTAAAAGACAAAAAATGTATTAAGAAAGATTTCTTAGTAGGAAATGCATGGAAATGGCAATATTTTATAAAAAACATTTATTAGTTCCTTCATCATATTTACTTAAAAAATAATGCTTAGTTCATTGAAATTATAAACAAATAAAATTACCGATAGTTAAGAATGCAGAAATAATAGGTGGAATAAAATATTGCTTATAATTCATAACAGAAACATAACTGAATATAGTTCGCATAAGATAACATGCGATTATTTCAAATCCAAGAACCAAAGCGAAAGGCACCTAAATTGTTACAAATTGTATTAGAAGTGTTCGTAATTTTCATAAATTTTCTTAAAATAATGAAATAAAATAATGAATATAAGCCAGCATCACTTCGTAACAAATTCTATATTTTTCTCAAATAGCAACTTTGAGACGAAAATAATCGAAATGAATAAATCGAATTCAAATCCTTCTTAAAGAAAATAAACAAAAAAATAAATAAACTTTATAGGTAAACGAGCAAAATGTTGATGTTTCATAGTTCAAAATATGATCTACTGATAAATCCAAAGACCAATACCACAGCTGTCGTGCAATTCTAAAGGCAGAATATGCACCAATTAATTCAGCTGATAATAGAGCAAGAAAACGTTCGATGCTGTAATAAATTATCAATACTCATTAATAAAATTATTACTATGAATAAGTTATTTGAAATGATAATTTAAAAAAAAAAAAAAAAACAGGACAAGAAATAAGAATTTACGTCAAAATTTTAGTTAATTCGCATAAAAGTGGATAAAAAATATAGTACTTTGAAAAAAGGAAAAAATTAGTTTCAGGCAAGTATAAACCTTCCGTTTAATTCAGAAACTGATGCAAAAAAATTTTATGAAAAAATAATTCACCCAATTGTCTGATAAAAAAATAATTCGATTGGTGCAAGTGGTGAAATAAAAGCGCCTCGATTAACACAACCGCCAAGGAAAAGTACCGATGCCACCACAAAAAAGAAACCAACAGCACCGTAGTGCCGTAAAATAATGGCTGAAATTTGAATATAATAATGTTGTTCAGAACTAGAATAAATCGAAACAAAATAAATACGATTATTAAATTTTGTAAATAAATAAAAAATAGAAAATGTGAACACACATACCATTTTCATAAACACATGTGCACATTTGCGCTGTTGCAATCGCTTCGATGAGAAAACAATGCAAAACATTTCCAGGAGATATAAATCTGAATAAGATCTTTCATTTTTCTTCAAATCTTCTTTCACCTTCCTTCTACCTCTGTTTTTCTTTATAAACCGCTATATAATAATTCACAGTCTAATTCTATTCACATAAATGAAATTAATCTAAAGAAATTATCAAATAAATTTGGATGGGAATATAGAGATGGCTATATTAGATAACAATTACTGGAATTCCCTTATTCGTATGAAAAGTAAGAAAAACAAACCTTTCAACAATTCGTCGAGCGATTTCTCCAACAATGAAAACCACACCATAAAAAGAATAAGCAATAATCAGCGAGAAATAATTGAAATTCGAAGCGATTTCAGAAATGACCATTGCACCGCTTTGCAATTTCCTAATTTTATTAACGCTGAAATTAATTAATGATTTAAGATAGGTAAAAAATGAAATAATCAAATAATTTTTAATGAGTTAAGCGATATTCAAATGATTTAAAATTCCGATGAAAATGCAGTGAAATTTTGTAGCAATACTAGTTGAAAAATGAAATAATGGAGTAGCAGAAGATACTTTTAAAAAACTCCTAAATTCCGATTCCGACCAACAATTCCGATCATAAACAATAGAACAAATCGTAAAACAATAGCAAATAAGAGGACGAAAGAAATTATAGGCGAGAAAATTGTAGACAGAGTTGCAAGCCAAATCACTTTACTAAAATATAAGCAAAAATAAGCAAAAAATTTAGCCACATTCAAGCAGATGCATATATTGGAGCCATAAGATATTTGGTACCTCACACTTGCTAAGCACTTACTCTCAGTTTTCATAGCCTTTACGGGATCAATGAATCATCTCAAATCATCTCAAATCTCGGTCTCTTTCTAGAGGTCTGACTTCTCTATTACAAAAATTCATCGGAACCATCAGCCAGAGCCTTTTTTTAAGCCTTTCGTTTTAGTCTTCATTATTTTTTCTCTTCCGAGTGATATAAGTTAAAACTTTATTTTCCGCCAAATTTATGAATGCGACTTCGTTGCATCTCCAATCTCCAATTGCAAATAACTGGTACCATCCATCTTATAAGCCATGGGAAAAGAATCGTTATGAAGTCGCTCCGATGGCCAAAATGGCTCAGTGGTAGTTCCATGAGGCCGGCCGCCAGGGATCGTTTCCTCCATCGAAGGAAATAAATCTGCCGACTTGGCCAGCCAAATCAGAAATGGCGAGTTGCCTCCACGCTTCCCACAACCGACAATTAGCCTCGAAAAAATTGCGAAAATAAAACTTTTAAGGGAAAAACGCGTTAAAGGCAAAGAAATCTAAAAAGGTCAATCTTCAACGTTTTAATCGACTGCAATTTTAATTAATTAATTTATTTATTTAATTTTTTCCTAATTTACTGCAAAATAAATGAAATAAATCAATGCTGAAATTACCTGAAAATGCAATTTACGATGCACTTTTTTAAACGACAGCAAATTTTTCACATTAAAAAGTGACTTTGGTGTCGAATTATTTAAGGCCGAGTTTTACTCTAAGCCAAAAATTGCCAAAACGGTGTCAAAAAATTGGCTGACTTTTAGTAGATGGCAAAATTTGAAAACTCATTTCGGATTGAATTTTCGCCGTTTATTTGACTTAAATATGGAGAAGAGTTTCTTTTTCAAGTTGGCATTCTTGGCTCTCCACATTTTATTGGTCGTCGTTGGTGGTTCAGCGAAGTCGAAGAAAAAAGTCAGGTTTTTCTCTCGTTATCTGTGATATGATAAGCAAACATGGTTATCTGCCGTTTGATAACCGAGAACATACAGCTGCTTATTGCTACTGTATATCCGCTATACGAGAGCGAGAATGTGTCCTATTGTCGCTTTCTTCGAAAAGTTGTAAACAAAAATTTTGATTAGAGAAGCAAATCCAAACCTAAATAAGGAGCCGGGGCTGCGATCTTTGGCGCATTATACGATAGTGTTAGGTGATGTTGAGAAGACATTCAGTTAATGTTGGTTTATGGTCACTGCGACGGTAACTCACTTTCTTTTCCAGAGTATTCTTGATTACAATGAAGCAGATCTTGAACGAATTTACGAGGAGTGGGAAGAGAATGATGAAGATGTACTGGAGGATGATGAGAAACCATATCACAAAAGACCGCAGAGGCCGGTCGATATAGACGAATTAAGGAAGAAGGTGCAGCAAGCGTTTAGGAATTTTTTATTTTTTTTAACTAGATTTCTTCCAATGGAGAGAGAAAATTTATTATGGTGCCATTTATCATCTCTTTTCTTGCAATATATAATATAATGTCTACTTTTCTTCTTCTTCTCTCAATCTATTGGCTTGTCGCACTAGAAATATGCTAGAATGTCCCTTAGCAGTAAAACTATAGGTGAGCTGCCAGCATCACTCGCGTTTTTGGACGTTTATTTACTTCTCTTGGAAGTAGGACCTAAGCATCGGCGCTCTGAAGTGAGCACCAACCCACTGAGCCATTCTCTCCTTATCATAGTACATATGAAATTAATTAAATTATATAATTTTATATAATTTATATAATATATTTCCAACTCTAAGCTTTGCAATTCTTGCAATTTAAAAACTGAAGGAATTACTTTAAAGTAAGTGGATGGATAGCGTTTGTTTTTTTTCTGTTTAAACTTGTTTCACTGGCTGGATTAAAATTTTTTTACCCAGGAGTCATTTGGGAATAGAAATGCAGGTAACTGCCTATCATCTTCCCAATTTTTTAATGATACCTTCGTTTCTATCGGAGAGGCTGGATCATGACCTCGGAGACGGTAGTCAGAGCAAAGACCACTTTTCCATCCTGGTGCAATTATTATATGGTAAAGATTTTACATTATTTTATCTTTATAGGTGACATCTCCGGAAGATTTCTTGCGACAGTCAAAAAAGGGACAAACGGTTATGATGTTTGTCACTGTTGGTGATGTTGATGATAAACCTGCACCTAAGAATTATACTGAACATTATACTAGATTGTGGAATCGTAGTCTCAACAATGCACATATTGAGGCTCAGGTAGCCCAGTAAATGAGATTTATTATTTAAATATTTAATGAACAAATAATTTAATAAATAGATAGTATAAAAAATTCCATAAATTAAGAAATGATATATATGAATTAAGGTTTTTGCAGGTTTTTGTGATTGAAGACAATCGAGCAATATTTACTTTCCAGGATGGTTCAGATGCTTGGGAAGCTAAGGACTTTTTACTTAAGCAAGAGGAAGTTAGTAATATATTACTTGAAGGACAGTCGTATAATGGCAAAGCAAAAAGGAATTCGCCTAAAACTGACCTGTAATTCTCGATAATTTTGTCTAATGATTAGTTTAGTTAGTTAATGTTTTAGTTGGATTTTCTTACCAAATTATAACGGGTTATTATTTGTATTGATTTCATTGGTTCAAGAAAAGATCAGCCAGTTCACTTACTAACTTTCTTACAATTTATTGATGAACAAATGGTTTAAATGATGTGGTATGCAATTTCTGCTTGAAAATAGCAATATTTTAAACCCAATATTTTAACATTTATTTAAAAAATTCGGCACGAGTTAATAAGTACAATTGTTCGTTTATTCGTTGTTTTATTCGCTTGATTGTTTATCCGTTGGTTCTTTGCTGTGTTTGGTTATTTCATTAATTCATTATTTTTTTGCTCAATTTTCTTTATAAAATTGTTTCATTATGGTTAGACTTCTGAAGGCTATCAAAAACGTTTTCTTCATATATTTTTTTACTGTAGCTTCAATAAGATTTACTGCAACACCAAATTCATTAATTGTACGAGTGCTGTGAACCTGTTACGACCAACTGATAAAGAATCAACAAGAAAAATATAAAATAAGAGTGAAATAGTTTATTATTATTACTGATACACAAAATCAAATCTGTTGTATTTGTTGATGATGCACTGTTTATTCGATAAGTTTAGCATCTAAAGCCATAGCGTAAAACATTGATGAATGATCGGAAAGAAGAACTTGTGGTGCGTCAAATTCTTTAATTCGACCTTTTTCTAATACCATCACTCTACAAAAGAAACTGTTAAATATTTGTAAAATTTATTCTTCACTTGTAAATATTTATTAAATTTTTTTTTGATAACCAATTTGGTAATGTTCAATTAAAAAGTAAAAAGTAATATACAATTCTTCTAAATATATAGAAAAACACCACGTACCTATCATAATCCATAATTGTATTAAGTCGATGTGCAATAGTTACAACTGTGGATGATTTGAATTCTCGGCGAATGGTATCCTGAATAAGATTATCGGTAAGTAAATCCACAGCCGCCGTGGCTTCATCCAAAATCAAAACTTTGCTCTTCCGCAGTAAAGCTCGAGCCAAGCAAACAAGTTGACGTTGCCCAACGCTCATATTTTCACCTCCTTCAGTAAGCGTGAAATTTAAACCATCTGTTAATCCATCAGTAAAGCTTTTAAGATGCGATAAGTGCAATGCCTGCCAAATTTGATTATCTTCATATTCTTGAAAAGGATCTAAATTGAAGCGGAGAGTTCCAGAAAAGAGGACGGGTTCCTGAAGAACATCATTGGTTAGAGTTTTGTTTAAAGAATGCGATTTCAACTTAAAAATTTAAAATTTTTCTCATCTTTTTGTTTGTATTTTTTGCTTGATGTTTTAGCATATAAATTAAATATTTGAAAACGCCTATGATCTTACCTGTGGTATTATAGTGAGATTGGAACGTAAATCATGTAATCCAAGATCAGTAATGCTCAGCTGATCAATTAGGATTTGCCCTTCAGTAGGTTCAATCATTCGAAACAAAGCTAAAGTAAGGGAAGACTTTCCTAAAAATATGTTAATAATTAGCCACTTCTCAATCCTTTGTAATTTTACAGCTTATTATTGTTATTAATTATTATTTATTATTTAACTCAACACATAATAATAAAGATTCTTACCTGCACCCGTCCTCCCAACAATGCCAACTTTCTCTGCTGGGTAAATTTTGGCATTCATTTTTTCGATAACTAAGTCAAGGTCAGGTCGATAACGAGTTGAATAGTTGTGAAATTCAATAGAGCCATAATTTGGCCAACCTTTTTCTTTTATGCAATTAGGAATTCGCCACTCAGCCTGGAAAACCATTAGTCATTTAGAAACGTTTCGAGTTTTAAAATTTAGAATTTAATTTAGTTTTAAAATTTAAAATTTAAAATTTAGTGAAAACATATTACCTCAGTAACTACTTCAGCATATTCTTTTACTCGCTCAACAGCGACGATATTGGATTCCAATTCACTAATTTGCCGCACCGCAAAGTTCAATGCTTCTGTTACCTGCAGAGGTCGCGAGAATTATTTGAATAACCCAAGCCCATTTTCTGTTTTCATTATTTTTTAAATAAAATTGCTAAAATTTTGTTGATTTCGTCATTTCTTTTAACGTAGAACTCGTTCATATCAAGCAGTTTAAAAAAATTGACAAACATTAAGCGAACACGATATACTGAGACCAGCAATACCGGCCGTTATCGCCATTCCCCAGTTTTGTGATAAAACTGCGAAAAGAGAGGTGAAAAGTATAACACAATTGCCAATGAACTCTAGTCGCACAGCTAACCATCGAAATGATATCAGGTTAAGATATTTAACTCGAATGTAAGTATCAACGCAGTCTTGAGATATTTCGCAAAATCTGTCGACCTGAATGATTATTTCATAATTCAGATGCAACCTGCATGTTCAAAAATTGGCCTACCAGAAAATAACACTATGTTTTATTTTAAATTATTGCTGCAGCTAAATATTATTTTTTCCTCGAATTTTATCACAACAATTATCACAACAATTGTTGTTGGAAAATAACCGTAGTTGAAATCGAAAAAAAATCAATTTACTTACCTGATTATAGGCTCGAATCGATACAGAACCTTGAATAGTTTCACCAAAATGTGAATAAATTGGTGATCGATGGATGCTTTCCAACCGTTTCATTTGCCTTGATGTTGGAACGAAAAATTTCTTAAAAAGAATTATCATGTCATTCAATCCGACATCAAAGATCAAAATAATAAAATTTGAAGAAAAAAGGTACCAAAGATGCATAATATATAGCAGCGAGTGGTATGATAAAAATGATAAAAAACCGCGTAGAAATGGTTATAATAATGAGAGTGGATAACACATTTACTATACACATCATAAAATAACGAAAATTTAGTGGCAGTAATTGGTCGATTACATCGATATCCTGAAATATTCGTTATTTTCATTGTAACTCGTTGATATTGAAGTACGGATTTATTGAAGCGAAACAGTCGGCTGGGTCGATTTTGCTTCGAATATGGTCAATTAAGGTCTTGATATTCCTCTCTGATAAGGTACCATTCTAAGAGCGAGGGGAATTAGGGAAGCCAGAAGTGGTGAGTGCTGCCAGAAGTAAAAAAAGTTTGTTGCGATTCAAGTAAAGAGCATTGCACTATTTTATCAATGATAAATAAAGAGTAAATTATTGCTGGTCAACAAGAAATTTAAGAATTTAACACAGATCTAGCTTCGCTTCTAATTTATGATTTTATTCTAATTCTCAACCACTTCTTTTATCACTATTAGAAAGAAGTGCGATAACTGTCATGCTAATTATTATCAATTTGTGCTGAGTAATTATTATTTAGCTCTCTCCATATTTATCCAAAAAAATAAATGCTAAAGCAATATTTTCACCTTTCCAAGTCGATTCAAAATTCGACCTATCGGAGTTGTATCGAAAAATAACATTGGAGATCGCAGAATATTATGAAGAAGTGGTGAATGAAGATTGCGAGCAGCCCGAACTCCACACAATATCAAAGCCATCAGCGACAAAAAGAAGCAAATCACTGAAATTAAAGACGATAAAGGCAAAGTGATTAATCTGAATAGATAGAGAGAAATCGAAACTGACTAATCCAGTGATAAATCTTCATACAGAAAGTCGCTATGATGACCCAGGTTGAAGCAATATACTACTCTAGCATCCCTCTTGTCGCCGAATACGGAAGCATCTCATAGCTTATGGTGGATTATCCGCATCGACATATTTCTGTGTCATATTTCTTCCTCTCAATAACAACATTAAGCTGAGAGAGGCGAGGATTACAAGTTATCGCCAAAATCATAGAAACAAATCTAAAACCTAATTAGAGGTAAATGCACTGAAGACAGTTTCATCTTGAGAAAATGGAAGGCAAAGAATGGAAAAAAAGCCATTTCCTCGACCTATTCCAAATTCTATATAAACTCCCGAGTTGCCACTACTGATTATTTGGGAATCGTGATAAGGAACTTAGGACGAGGGAAAAGCAAAAAAAGGAAGGAAGTGGAGAAGAAAATTGGGGAACGATGCGGAAGTACGTTATTAAATTCACATGTGCCGTCATCGTTTACATGCGCACCGCCGAGAGGGGATAGAATGGCTTAGATGGGTTGTTGCTTTTCTGAGTGCCGATGCTGAGGATCTATTTCCCCGCAGAAGTAAACCCAAAAATTAGAGTGATGCTGGCGACTCATCTATCATTTTATCGCGAAGGGACTCCCTGACATATTTGTCCAGTGCGACAAGTCAGCGAAGCGAGTTTAATCAGTAATGGTGAGGACTTTAAAAAAAAAAAAAAACATGTACACTGCCGATTCTCTTCCTTACCTTGTCACTGTACTTACCGCACCATCTTATATGTATGAACTTGTAAATAGTTAGGTAGTTTTGCGTATATTTTTATATTTTCTGCATATATCATTTGTAAATGAAGGCTTAATTCCTCAAGTCTGAGGTCCTTTGGGCTACTAATTTATCTCGAGCAACTGGCATCGAAATAGTTAAAAAAAAAGAAACGCCTGGCTGCAATATGTCAATATAATAGTCACAAAGGAAATAAAATCCGCGTGATAGGTGGAATATAACCAAAATATGGTGGAAAAAAATTTCCAGGAATGTCGCTGAAAAATCTTATCCAATGGAAATGTCACTTTCGCACATCAATCCTAACACACATCATTTTCTAACCTTCCATAATGCCTAAACTTGCATAAACTATAAGTCGTGCAGCTAGTGACATGCTACTATTTTTATTGTTGTTGACCATCTCATTTGCATCCGACCTGAAAATAAAGAAAAGTGAAAAAAACTATTATATCGTAAAGTCGAACCAAATAAACCAAACAAACAATTATTTACCCAATGAATAAAAAAAAATTATAAAGATGATAAGATATATTCTTACCATTGTGATAACCAAATACCGCGACCAAGTTGAAAAGCTGCGTAGAGAAGAAAGAACAACACGAATAAAGCTGATATCAAAAATGATGCAGCTCGTACAAAGTGAAGATAGACCATAGTTTTGACCTTAAGAAGTGCCAATTTATTTTGCCGAAATAAAAAAATTATTTCTAAGATTATAAAATATAATCTTTACTAAAAAAAATATTCAAAGAATTTAGAAAAACATGAAAAATAATAAGGATTTTAGAACAAACCCGGCCGGTTTCTACTTTCTCTGCTTGTATTAGATGAGATTCTTTAGCGCTTTCCCCATTCAGCACAGTTTTTGATTTTATTAAAGGGGGACGACTTGATAATAATGTCTTTCCTGAACTTGAATAACATTCAGTGCTGCTTGCTAATGCTGATATTGTAGAAGAACGTCTAAAATAATGCTAAATAACGATGTGTGTTGTCAAGAAAAATCTCAGTTAGCATTAATAGTATAGCATTTTTGTATTAATAGGTAGAATGGCTTAATGGGTTGTCGCTTTGAGCAGAGATAAACCAGCATTACAAAAATTCGGATGGTCCATCTGTATTTCTATCGCCGAGTTAACTCTCTGGCAAAATTTGTCTGGTGCGGGAAATTAGCGGAGCAAGCCTAGTTAGAAATATTAAGCGCTATTAGAAAAAAAATCAGTACAATAAAAGCTGCATTCTGCTTCTAAAACTAAGGAATGAAATTTTTAAAGGAGTTTTTTAAAAGCACCATGGCATGGAAATACACCACCTATCACTAAAAAATTCAGAAACTGCAAGCGACTTTTCTATCGCCAAGTGATTCCCCTAAAAGAAATTTCTAATCGTGTTAACAGCCAGTGAAACAAACCCAATGGTAAGTACAAACCACTTACTGACATTAAACATTAAGTAATTAAACAGTGGTCAAGTTCATTGAATTGAATAAAAAAAACATAACTACGAAGTATCATCTCTTGCTTGTCGAAAGTGTCAACCTGTTCAACACCAGATCCAATATAATCTATAAAAATTGCCATTCATTGTTAGTCTTTTAAATAATAAACAGTGAATAAATCGGTCTGCCTTTCTAAAGCAGCCAAAGTACCAATGCCGTATTAGAAAAAAACTTCTTCATTCAATGATCACCATTCAAAAATTCGTCGGTTTCCTCCTGATTGTAAATATCATTAACATTAACAATATTTGTTTCCAATTTTTTCCGATCTTCATCGGTTGATTCGTTTTCTTTTTTACATTCCTCTATAAAATCAGCGAAGACACCACCGTTTGATAACAATTCATTGTAGTTCCCGATTTCACATATCGTTCCGCCTAAAAATAAACGATCATGCGATATAATGACAAATTAAACAATTTGAAGTCATCTTTCTGCCAAATTTTGCGGTAATAATAATTTGCTGTATTCCATTTGTAGTCCATAACACCTTACAACCTATTCTAATTACGCAGCATTTCCCGGTGACGCCTCTAACACCAAGGCTCAAATACCATAGATGAATTCATTGAGAAGACACCTTAAGTTTGCCTAAAATTTTAGCTTGCTACTAAAAATCCTTTTTTCTCAGAAAAAATGAAGAAAATTTCTTTTATAACCAAAGCATATCGTAAATTAGTAATAGAACATAAGCTGAGGTCAGCTGAAGATGAGATCGGACTTTGCGTCCGAATTCGAGCATTGCAGTTCGAATCAGAGCCACCTTTTTGTTTCTCTTTTTTCTTGAGTGACTGTACAAACTGTTTATAAACTGTATTATTATTTCATTTAAAATGAAAACGAATTTATAAGAATTTATAACGAATTTATAATGCTTAGTGAATTTGAACCATAGCTCCTTTTGGTTGGAACTTTTAAGCCAATAGCCAATAAGCCATCGAAATCGACTTGGCTACAGATGGGATAGTCGAAATAGGCTGGACAGATCAACCAACCACCACAATAATCGTAGCATCTTGGACTGAATAAAGAAGTTTTTTCCTAGTAACAACATATCATAATATCTGACCCTTAATAACGGCAATCACATTCATTGTCTTCAAATATGTCAAATTGTGTGTCACGAAAATACGAGTCTTGTTTCGTAATAACCCATTGGGACCAATAACCTTTAATATTGTTACAAATTGGCGAATTTATTGAAATTATGAAAGAATATAACAAATTTCGATAAAGTGATAAGTTCTAGATTCAGTTAAGAGGATCTTATATTAAATAGAATAATTCAGTATTTTTTTCAAAATTTCATTTTTCCAAAGAATTCCATAAGATGTGCTTTTTTCGGTGGATTAAGATTATTATGACCTTGTCATAAATATGTTTCCCAACATGACTGTCAACAGCTGATAATGGGTCATCCAATAGATATATATCACAATTTTGATAAACAGCTCGAGCTAATGACACACGAGCCTTCTGTCCTCCTGACAAATTGATACCCTTAAAATGTTAAATTTTGATGCAAAAAATAAAATTTTCTTCAAGAAACGTTGTGAAGCAGATATAAAACGTTGTGATGCTAATATTTTATAAATTTACTTTTTCACCAATTTCGGTGGAATCACCATTTGGAAGCATAGTAATGTCTTCAGTAAGAGCACATGCTTCAATCACCTTATCATATAAAATTCGATCAAATTTGCGTCCGAATATGATATTTTCTCTAAGAGACAAATTAAGAATCCATGGTTGCTGTTGAACATAAGCAATTTTACCTTTTAAAGTTACACGACCATTAAGTTTATCCAATTCTCCTAAATATTGCAAATGATTACACAATTTTTTTCGATTTTCGATAACTTTTTTAACCATATTTATTTAAATTTATCGCAAATGAAGTTCAAAAACTATAAGGTTAAGAAAGCATTCTCTCAGTATTATCTTAAAAAATACCAAGAAGGGAATACAGAAGACTGCTTTTCCCTGATCCAACTCGACCAACAATAGCAATTATTTCTCCCACAGGGACGATCAAATTGATATCGACAGATTTCGTAGCAGTGGTGTCCATTTTATCCCATGTATAAATATAGTTTTCAATTTCGATGGCATTACCTTTTTCTGTACGATAAATATTGTAGTACTAAAGCTTTTTTGAAAAAAACATTATTAAAAACCAAATTGGTCTAATTAACTTTCCACTCTATAAATGGACAAAACAATCATTTAGATTTAATTTGCGAACCTTCCGCAGGAAGCCTTTCGACGCTTTTTGGATCAATTTCGTCAGCTATAAGAAACTCTTTTAAGCGCTTATTAGCAACAATTGCCTGAAAGAAGAAAAGTTTAAAGAAGAGAAGAAAAATAGCCAATTTTGAACTGATGAGAAACGCCTCATATCAATGCTGTTTTATATCAAATTATGAATAAGAAATGACACCAAAAAAGCTGAAATTTATTGGACTTTGAATGAATCAATTGACAAACCAAATGATGTTTAGAAATTACCTGAACCATTTGTTGTATAAGTAAGGCCACCATAGTCATCGGCGAACGTAACTGATTGAGGAGAGTTAACGAAACAAATGCAACTTGAGGTGTTAAAATATTATTTTCGCTTGATAAAGTGAATAAAGTAAAGGTCAGTATTGCAACCTAAAAAAGTATTAAAGTTGGATTACTGCGTTTAGGAGTAATTACTACCGAAATAACCATGAGATATAAGCATTGAGTATAGTATTAAATAGCTATGACCAGCAAGGCTGAGGATTTTTTTCAACAAGATTAACAGAATGATAAACCAGGAAAGGTGAAGCTGTATTGAAAGTATCAACAACTGCTCTAGCAAAACCAAATTTCTGAAGAAATTTCAGCTCATTATGCCGAATATTTTCAATTGTTCTTTCCATCGGTGGTTCCCATGCATACAGTTTTATAATTTTGATTCCATTTAACACTTCGCTACACATTTTTGCTCTTTCATCTTTTAATTCCACTTGTTTAACCTGAAATATTAAATAATATTGCGGCAACTACTTTGAACCATCGGTGCAACCACGGTGCTTCAATAAAATTTGTACGTGCAATAAAACAAAAGATGAGGAGTGCGAACGATAACCAAAAAGCGGATGCTTTACCAGATGGTTCAGCAATAAGAAGATTAAAAGAGTAAAGTATAGGGAATTGTTCGGCGAATTTTAAACTATAATTGTGATTCCATCAAATTTACTTTTGTCCAATCGTTTCTCATTAGTTTATTGGAATAAAAGTGTCAAAAATGAATGTGAAATTTGATTTGAAGAGCTCTTAAAAATTTTTGAATTTATTTAAAACATACTTGCCACCGTTTTACGATAACTGAGCCGTAAATATTGAGCGGAACGAACAAAATCATCACTGCAATTCCACCAATTGCCGAAGGTCCGAGAACATAAAATAAATAAAATAGTGCCAGTGCGATCTAAAATATCGAATTTTGTAGAATATTATCGGTGAATTTATTCTTTTGTGAAAACCATGTGTTGTATAATTATTATAAAGATAGATAGTGTAAAATAATACAAAATTAAAAGTGAATCAAATCAGATTGTCGAAATTATAATGGCTTAGATTGTCATACTGAAAAACGCTGGCATATGTTCTTGATACGAGCAGTAGTGCTGGCGAAAATCGTTCTAACTGTTGCCAGAACTAACTAGAAATTATGACCACCTGTTAATATTATCGAAAATATCCTTAGAGGCTCGTGGATAACATTCCTGCCTTCAAAGGTTAGAATTCCCATTAAAAAGGTCCTCTATATACATTTCCAATTAAATTTTCTTAATATCACCAATCATTGGGTCAAATATTCCTTCAGTGCTCTCGACCAAAATGATATAAATGAAGTGGTGTTGTCAGCAGGCTGTTCACAAAGGAGTCAAAAAGAAATAATGCGGATGCAGATTTATGCACGAAGCAGTATAACAGTCAGATTCTGAGTTGCTAAAAAGCTGCATCATGTTTCCATTTCTTTGAGAAAAATAGCCACAAATGACCACAAACTCAAGCAGATAACCGAGTGGTATGTCGCTTCAATTGAGACCTCATATCTTTGTTGAAAATAAAGCTGTAACTAAAAGCAAAATCTGGGTGATACTAGAAACTTATCCATATTTTTCCAATTAATTTCCTGAAACGGTCACAGAGACACACAGTCAGTACAGCCAACCAAATACAAAATGATGTACGTTGCTAGAAAAGATGAAGCTAGAATAAGGCACTTAGATGAAGGCTGCTAATCAGCTATTAATTAGAGACTGGGAAGGTTGTTGCAAGGGAGCGAGGTAAGTCTGAAGGTGTTTTCTTCGAAGCAATAGAAGTTTTGGGGGATAGCAAAAGGTTTCATTTTATTGCATTTTAACATTATAGATTTTAGCATTTCTTTCCGGGTAGACAAGCAATTTATACATCAATATAGCAAGCTACATTTTCAAGAAAAAGCGCTATTTCAAGCGATTTAAAGGAATCGTAAATACCTGAAATGGACACGACCACAACTGCTGAATCTGAGGAGTTATCATTTGGAAACGTTCGATATCGATAGCCATTAAATTAATAATTTCTCCGACTGTTTTGTTCTTTCTTGCTGAATTCGATAATTTTAATGTCTGCAAAAAGAAATAATAATCTATTTGAATTTTGATATAAGAATTATGCAAAAAAAAAATATATTACATTTTTGAAATAAAAGATTTCTTCCCAAAATAAATAAATTATTTATAACAGAATTTAAGGTGAAAAATCATTTTGTTATAATTAATCATTTAAGCCATCTCGAATGAAGAAATAGAAGAGAATAAATAAAAATACGAAATGGAAAAGAGATAAATATATTCGATAATTTGGGAAGTTGAAATGAAAGAAAGCCGTTCAAGAGAATCGGAGGATCACAAAGTGCGTTTTAGAAGAAACGGTCCCATGCTTGCCAATGTCATGAGATACTATACGGCCGCAGCAAGACAGGATAAAAACCGAAACTGGAGCAATATGGAGAAAAAACTTGAGAATGCGACCATCGGAAATTATCCGAGGAAATTTACTTCGCAAAACCGGAGCTCGAGTGATGGCCAATGAAATGAACCAAAATAAGACTAGAAACTTCGTAAAGGAAATTAAAAATCCTCTTTATATTTAAATTTAACTATGATAAGCCATCCCTTAAGGCTGGAATGAACTTAGTCACACAATTGAAAACTATTAACCCAGCACAAGATAATTTATGTTCAATGAAACTCCCAGAGAAGATCTTCTGCTGAAAAGCTGAACTTTTTAAATGCTGCCCAGCATTCTTCAAAATACGTCTGCAAAGATTATATTCACTGGTATTCTGACTGGAATAAAAAAAATGGGCTCCTAATTCGCAAGAAAGATGATAGAAGGTACTGCCTCAAGGAATAGCTATTTTCGAGAAGATATTTGACTCTCTTCTGCTTATGTGGCGAACAGCCCTTTGTAAGTTAATAATTTTATTGTCACTATGGGTCATTATCCGCACGAACTTCATCACACTAATATCATGATGCACCATGAACCAAGGAGAAAAATAAAAAGCTCGTGAACTCGTAGCAGTATATGGTAGCAACATAAAACCAGATCGACTTTATCGCTGCTTTTGATTCAATTGGCTCTGGCGAGTATGTAAATACGGTGTCCCAGAAAAAATAATCAGACTTATTAAATGGGTGGCATATAACAGCGCAAGGGAACTGAAATACAAAAGAGTATGTCAATGTTGACTCCTCTCCCCTATAATATTCAATCACGAGATCAGGTTATGAATTCCGCTTCCCGACATTTGAAAGATGTACAAATCAATCCAGAGCGTAGTATTGTCGCGAATTCTAATATCGCGAAATTCCCACCAAATTCCGAACACATAAGTAATCAAATAAATGTTTTCTGTAATGAGTCATTTTGCATTCCTTAGATTATTTCACGTCAAATTCCCATGTTTTTTTTGTTTCTATCTAAAGCTCATATCTTTTTTTGTATTCCTGTTATACGGGCATTTCTAATTCACACGCCAATCTTCCAATCGGATCCTTAATTACAATGCTTGGAATTTTTGATATAAACCACTCCCACTTTCAATGAGATATGAACCCTGTTGTGTTAAATCAGTATTGTGTTTTTACGGAATAAAAATTGGTGTATCTCGGTTGTGTCTTTTAGTTTGGTTCACAACTTCTCCCAATCTAACACCACTCAATTCGTCTCGACTTAATACAACAGTCAAATCGTTGATGGTATTCAACTACGACATCACTTCACTATATTACAAATTCACGACAAGTATCGTAAAATTGGAAAGTTAAAAACTCAAACCAGTGTAGAAACTCTATTCGTCTTATATACCAGAAGTCAATAAGCTTGGAATTTATCAATCTGTAAATTTATCAACGATTCAAGAAGTGTTAGATATCACTCTCATACCATTCAGATGAAAAATAAAATTCCAGCTCGATGAGCTGCAGCTAGTTGTGCCTTCTCTTCCATGCGGCAAAACCTTTCTGGAAAAGCAGCCTTACAACGAAAGCTCGCATATATCTGGCTGCGTCGTCCTAATACTTTCCGATATTTAAGAGATTAATGAAATGGCCAATAAAAGTGAAAAATGGAAAATATCATCTAAATTCAATATATTCGCCAAATGGACAAAGAATCAAATGATTTTATCCATCTGCATTAAGAATACCGTCGCCTACATGGGTCAGATCATTTCTTCATCTTTCAACACGGGAACTGAATTATATCTCGATATTTGCTAACCCTGGATCGTTAAAAACACGCAAAGTTATTCAAGACTTCGATCGAAAAGTAAGATTTATGGTGATTTTGAATAGAAGCCCAGCGATATGCTTAAACGTGGAAAAAGGAGTGGCTTCAATTACTTTCAAGAATAGAAGGAATAAGAAAAGCATCGGATCTACAGGCTTGGAAACGGCTTATTGCCAGTGGAGCTAGTCAAACCAGCAATGTTGTTCGACGAGATTTCGACGAGTTTTCGCTGTTCGAGATCTCTTTTTCCCTTTTTCCTTGCATTGCAAATTATTTTATTAAAAACTAAAAACATGTACTTTTCTATAGATGGCAGCAGTAAGCGTACTCTGAACTTTGAGACTGGTACGGAACATTAAATAAAAATAATGATTTAAAAATAATGATCGAAGCTGTGAACAAACGAACAAAGCCACTGCTAAGCCCACACCTTTCCAAATTGTTACATTTGAGGTGGAAATAAATCTGAGCAATTCACTGGAAAATAAATCATTATGATTTATTCACGTAATAGTGAGTAAATAAAAAAAAAATTATTTGATATGCGTAAAGGCCTTTATAATGCAAGAATTAACCTCAATAGGAAAGGACCAGTAAACTGTAGAACGTCTGAAAATACCTTTGCGCCAGTTGCTGTCAAGAATTCATACTTGAACATTACAAATAGCAGCCATACTATCGACGGTGGCTCGGACCGATGCTTTTTCGATGCTTCTTCAAAATTATGTTGACCTGAACGCGACCGAAAAATATCTTTCATTCTAGAAAAGATTTAACCAAATTTAGACGAAGAATAGCTTTAAATCTCCTGCATTACAATGTTCTGTGGCAAATTTACTTTTGCTCATAGTTACGAGTCATAACAAAAGTTTTCAATTTAACCTCGATGATAAAGATTTATTTTGAATCGAAATTCTGAATTTGGATTTTGGAGGATCAACTGGATTATTCAATGATGATTCTATCAATTGTTTTTTAGCCAAATAATCTGTAAAAATTTCCGAAATATTTATTTAAAATAAATTTGTTCAGTATTTCTCAGCTAATATTTACTTTATTACTAATATTTACTTTCGAAGACAGGTAGCCAAAGTTGTTGCCACTTTCTAGCCAAATGAGACGATGTGCTCCCTTCGTTCAATTCAAATAAATCATTGATCTCGAGATCTTTTCGATAACCTAATAAAAGTAATGGATTGAACCACCACAATACGATGCGATTCAGGAAAGAGCTATCTAACTCAGGACTTTTCTTCTGAAATTTTCAAGCCTTTCTGAATAAATTTCAATTTATAAATAACCACAATCATATAAAATTTTGGTTTAATCTTAAATTTTGGTTTCAAATAATACCTTAGCAAGCAAGTAAAACCAAAAATTTTTAAAAAATACGGTTTTCTTAAATTTCAAATAAACAATTGATCTGATCTCGAGATGGATCTCTCATCTCTTAATGACACTTTTTATTCACTGCAACTGCTAAACGAAAAAGCAACTAACTTCATTTACCACAGCGGTTTTAGGCCGAAAATCGGCGAAACTAAAAAGGATAACTTGCAGAATAACAAAAATACATTGAAAAAAATATAATATAAACTGGAACTGATTAATTTCCTTTGATTTCTGAAATAATTCTGAAATGCTATGAGCATAAGAAAATTGGATTTTTATAAAAAATTGATGCATCGTAATTGACAACCGAAATTTTTAAATTTGGAACTTAAAAATGTTACCAGATGGATTATGCCGGAATAATTCAGGAATAATTCATAAGCTTTACATAACAAAAATAAGATCCATGTAAGATAAACTATTCCTGAACTCACCATGCCGCATGATTTCGCTCGCAACATACAAAAACCAATGCATAACTATAATGATACTTAAAGATATGATTATTCCTTAATTTATGGCAAAACAGGAAAATAGCGAAGACAGAAAACAAATAATTATGCAATACGGCCGTACGGATTACAAATACAAACCATGGTAATCAGTTGAACTGGAAGATGGATGAAACTCATTGGTGAAATATCATTTTCTTCAGAATGTGAATCTTTAATGCTTTTAATAAGCATTGTTAATGTCGTTGCTATTAAACCTATCAACACTGCCTAAAATAAAATTTTCATTTGCAAGTAAAAGGAAACGGGGAAAGAAAAAATGATCCAAACCCATTATTAATTATGGTATTGACCATTCGAAGTCAGGATAGACGAGAAGATTATCGTGACTCAGAATATCGTTTACAATGGTTCAAATCTTGCCACAGACTAGAGAAGCACAAAAAATACTGGCGATACTGGCCTATAGCGCCATATCGCCAATTCTGTGATAGAAATTTCTAGCCTACAACTAGTGAAGTCTTGTATTGGCTATTCAATTAAGTAGTGAATAGGCTTACGAATTTGGCTTTTAATAGGTACGACCATTCCAAAGAAGCAAACTGCTTAACGATTTTCATACGGTGAGTTTGAAACATGAAAAGTGGGAACAGAATCCAAAAAAATACACATGGCACGAGAGATAAAACGGAGTTTTGGAAGCATTTGCTTGCATCCGGAAACTCAGTATGATTACCGGCCTGAAAAATTATTGAAAAAAATTATTTTCTGTACTATTCATTTTTGAAAAAATACTTTTTTATATAAACTTCTCAATTTATGCAAAGAATAGTAGTAACATTGCGAAAAATATATGTCAAAGAACAAAAAAGACTGAAATTAATTTCGAATAAAAGAAATTAAATTTATTTTTGAATCACATTAAGACTGAACGAAGAAAAGACTTTATCGCAAGAGTTATAGCCAGCGGCGCCAGACGCAAGCAGTTAGAAGAATAAAAATAATATTAAGAAAGGCATAACTTGCCAATATGATTAAATACTGGCACGGGATGCAGAGATCATAGAAGCCTTCTATTCAGGCCTGATGACTCGTATGAAACTATTAAATGAAATAGTTAAACAAACCCAGAATTCCCCGAGACAAACTTTCGCAATTCCTGCATACCCAGTTTTTTCCATCGGTGTTGGCTGAAAAATAAAATAAGCACATGAAATACAAACTGGCAGATTATCGATAAAAGCATCGCTTAACTGTCTCTCAAGTAGTTTAAATATTTGAATATTCCTTATAAATATTGTCTCTAAATATTCCTTATCAAACCACTTCATGATAACGAAGAAGAAAGATAGCCCAGTGGAATGGTGGTTTACATTACCGTATTGGGAGGCGATGATTACGTTTCTCCCTCCGTACGAGGAAACATGTCGTTACAAAGTTGTGCTTAGCGCCCACTTTCGCTTTTGTCTTTTATTGCCATGTGGAGACCAAAATATTTCTCTAACCGTATTGACCAACAGCCGGTGGCGTTAGCCTAAGCAGAAGTGTGAGAAACGCTGATAACTTCTTTGATTACAAAACGCAGACCGATGAACTTTCAAAAATCAAATCTTCACTTCTTATGCTCAAAGCAAATATTTACTTAAGCCTTCGTTTTTTGATTGGTAAGTTTCCCATCTAAAAAAATAGCAAAATTTCCAGCAATTACTTATCATTGAATCATTCGATATATTTATAGTTCTCTTATAAGACTGTAACACTTAAAACTTAGGCAAATATTATATAATTTTAATTTAACAGTTGGAAAATTTTTGATTAGTTTGACGTAAGAATGAGCGACAAAAATCGAAAAATCATTCATTCAAGCGAATTAAATATTTATTTGGTTACAGGCGGACGATGGCTCTTCCTAATGCAATAATCCACCGCAATACGCCACCATAAAACAAATAATCCATTCATTATTGGAATTTAAAATTCATAAAAGTAATAAAAAGAGGAAAAAGAAGAGTTTAAATAGTAAATAATTTTGTTTAAAAATAATTTATTTGTCGAAGATTTATAGAAGAAAAATCTCATGAAAAAAACCATTAAGAAATTAAAAAGCGGTGAGCACAAACCGTTTGCGGTCAGACTCATCGCACTGGCTTTTAGAGGATGAGACAATTCTACTAGCGAGTTACTAGTGAGGATAAAAGTAAAAGTGAGCCAACGCCACTCGGACTTTCTGATTATAGCTTTACTCTGGCCAACAATTCAAAATTCCTATGACAATAAAAATATCAAAATCAAAAATCTTCTTCTCGCTTCATACATAAAAATATGATCTATCCACCATCTGAAGAATGAACTTTATAGTCGTCTAAAAACTACTCGAGTTTGAATTAAAAGTGCCTTTAGTAACATCGTTAGTACAGAACAGAGGGCCAACGCACCTGCTTCTCCTCATACTTTCTTAATGCTACCTCAGACACTACTGCAATTCTTTGACAGTCTCTTATGATCTCCTTGATCCCACACTTGTTTTCTTCAAATATTGGTAAAATTTGCTCAAGATGAATATCACTATCGTCCATCGATACGTGTAAATTCTTTCCGAAGAATCTAACTTAAAGAATGGGAATTTCCCTGAGTAGGTCGGTCCTCGTTCCAATGCCAATTCTCCCTATTTTACAATTTTTTATTGATTTATGAAAATTTATCTAAATATTTCTTTTATTTACGGGAAACATTTATAAATCAATCGTTCGATATGCAATATGCATTAAAAATTATTATTAATATAAAAAATGATTTTAAAAAATAAATATGGCAGTATGCAGTTTTTTCGAAGGAATATTCTCACCCATAATAAATACTTTCAGTTTCAAAGTAAAATTAGTGGTCAACATTTGGCATTTCTAATTAGATACGCTTAGAACGGTTAGAAATCTTCACGATAGAAATTGCCAAAGCTGGACTCTTTAGTGACAAGTGCCGGAGGCGGAAGCTGACGGAAACTCTTCCCTCTCAGTGGCCCTATCTGGGCCATTATTTACTCGGCTATTCAATCAATCCTTATCGCCAGAATTAAGTCAATTTATTTAATTTTATTACAAATTCAACACATTACAAGCCAATTTACCTATAAATTTGTTTGGGTAGGAAAAAAGAAACATTAAACTATAAAAGAATTAAACCTTTTGTACCTTGAGCATTTGCCATTCTCACCAAATCATGAACTACTTCATCTGTCATTTCATCTGTATTTTCCTCCGTGACCTTTGCTAAGAAAATGTCTTTCGTCCGGCATGCGTTTTCTTCTCACTTATTTTTGTTCTCTTTGTCATTCAAAATTTCATCTTTCTTGTCTGCGTTTACGTCTCTTAGTTCTTTCGTAGATATATAACAAAAATCGGATTTTATACATTCAACCACTTAACAACTGTGAGAAATGATCTTTGGGTGCAATATTTTCGCAAAAAAGCCCACAAATATATATTTTTTCGAGGTTTTTCTTTTCTTGAATTCGCCAATTTGAGAAATTTTTCCAAAAACCTTTTATTGCCTTTTAAAGAAACAAAAATGTAAAAATAAATAACAAGTTAAAAGTATGAAGAAAGAAACTCATCATTCATCATCTTACCAGCTGTAAAGGCACAACTTTAAAATGCAGAATCTATTAACAGAAACTATCTGTTAATCAATAAAGAGTATTAGCAAACAAGGATTTGAATGTTCTACGTAAAAACATAAAAAGTATAAGGAATGAAGCGATAAAATTTATAAATTCTTGCGGAATGGCACAACTGACATTTTTGCGAACAGCTGTAAAAAAAAAAATAAAACTAGTTAATAAAACTTAGAAAAACAAAAACGACAATGCGAGGATGTGAATTATTAAAAAAATTAACAGGCATCACTTTGGAACAGTATCACATTACAGAGGTCAATAATAATTTTTCGATACATTTTAGGTCACTGCAAATAAAAAATTAAAACTATTCGTAAAATTAAATGGAAACAAACCGTATGATCAGAAGCAATACCAATTACCATAAGGATTAAATTGTTTATGAAATAAAATGACAAAATAAAAAAAGATAGTAGACGAAAAAATGCGCTTTAGAAATACTTTGCATCACATAATGTAATACTGACTGACATTATGAGAAAATCTACTCAGTTTTTTTATGCTCCACTTTTTGTTTCATCATTTTGTTAACGAGGAAATAAAATAACGGCCAGATAAATGAATAAAAAATATGCGGCAAGAAGTACATTGATGAAAGTGGCTAAAAAAAAAGCATTCCGTTAAGCACTTCAAACTTCTCAAATTTTAGATAAAGTTTTGAATAAAGTAAAGATTCCTTTTTTTTAATGAAATAAGCCGTACTAAAAAAGAATGGGTATATTCAGAAGCAACTTACTCTTATCCACAATCGAGTTTTCACTAAACCAAACGAAAAAAAACCGATAGACATTGATATGTTTATTATCAGTCGTCCTAAAATGAATTTTACTGGTCTCATCCACGACTGTGCGATCAAATTTCGTAGAGAAGGAATTTTATCAACCAAATCATACAGCTAAAACTTAAATTTATTTTAAATCTGAATGCTATTTTCATTAAAATGGAAAAACAAATATAAAACTTTTGTATCCTTTATAGATCAAAGAATCTAAAAAAAAGAAACGATTATAGAAATGATTAACCTGACGCTGAGCCATTACGCAAGCAAATTCTAGCCAAAACAGCAGAAAATATCCTAAATGATAGCCGTGCCAAATTGCAAGATAAACCAACGTTAATGCATGACTATAAACTTTGTTCCCCATCCATTGTAATCGTTTGAAAATATGACTATAATTTCATCATTTAAAACATAAATCAAATTAATCGTTTCTTATTAATTTTTAGGTTCAGTTAATTCTTCTACATATTTTAAATAAAGTTCCATTTTCCATTTTAAATCTAATAAACGAATTCGTTTCTAAATCATTAACCCACAACATCTGAAGAAAATAAAAAATTTCTATATGCAAGAAGTCAAAGTACTGAACTGAATATGAAATTGAAATTGAAAATCAAAATAACTTCTTAGCAAAAGCATTGGTGCCGAGATTAAAACTTTCAATTGCGCTCTGAAAATCGAGACCAAATTCCCATTTAAGAATGTTAATGTCACGCGTCCCATCCCAACGATCTTCACCGTATTCGTCTTTACCATTGTAAGCTATACCAGATAATATGGCTGCTCCTTCCTAAAATACGTAAAAATTAAAGGAAAAATTAAAATAAAAATAAAATAAAATTAAAATTGACATCCAGACAAATATGCAAACAAATATGAAAACGCTTTCAACATTTAAGACATTAAAACCGACGTTTATAAGCCAACAGAATATGTATCTGCTCATTATTAGCCGAAACCATAGCACTGTCCAAACTAGTTTCCAAAAAAACGGCAAATTCTGGAATATGTGGTGATAGTTTAGTAAAACGATAATTTTCCAAAGAAATTGTAAAAATAATGTGAGGAATTAGCAAAATTCGAGATAGTGAAATTATAAAACACTCATAAATAAATCCGAAATAATCGGATAACCATATTTATGAGAAAATTTGTAAACAGAAATTTTTATAACGAAAAAATATAATGGAACTTGGAAAAGCTTTTCAATTTTTTAATATAAAAATGATGAATGGAAAAATCACAGTAAAACGGTAAAACGATGAAATTATTAAATTTCTTAAGTAAAAAGCCAAAAACATACAAGAAATTCATAAGAATTGAAATAATCGCAAGGGATCCAATAATTACCCCAAAGATGAATAACCGCATATAAGCAGCCCCCCAAAAACCGACCTAAACTCGGCATCAAACTGAAAGTATCCAATGAAGTCCAAATAGAGCTTAAAAGCTATCTTAGACTAAAAGAAAAATATTGAAAATCATGTGCATGATTTTTAATAAATTTACCTGGAAGTTCGCACTTCACCCTTTTCATTCAAAAATTCACCATTGACAAAAGACCGAAATTTTGAAAAGGGAAATAAATGACCGACGAACGTTCCACAAAATATAAAACCAAAAGCAGCAATTTCGAGAAGATCAGGTGGATCAGATATCGCAGTTTTTGACTGACTACCTTTTATTTTATCCTATATATGTTTAAAGGGTGAAAAAAAAGAAATGAGAAACAAGATAATATAATTAAATGGATTCGATTCGGATTGATGCTACTAGCGTTAATTCATTCAGTTAACAAAGCAGGAAATAAAAACAAACTTTCGACTTTTTTCCATCATATACATCCATAACAAGCCCAGTGAAGCGCAAAGTCATAATGCAAAAGGGCGTTGTCCATGTTATATCGTATTGATCTGTTTCAACCATCCAATATCCAAATAGCAAATGCCCCTAAAAATAAATCTATGTTAATGGGAAAAAATGAAGTAATGGATACGGCAAGAATACCCTGAAAAAGAGCAAGAGCTTTAAAACAACAAAATGTAACTTAAAAAACCAAAGAAAACTTAACATTTTTATAAAGAAAAAATTTAATCTTGGAAAAGTTAGCCTTAAAAAGAAACTTCATGAAATTTAAAATCAAATGAAAATAAAAAAAATAAGTCCTCATTAAACAGTTAAATAATTTTAAAAAATCACTCATTTCTATTCCTTAAGATATATTCCCCGATTAAATTTATAAATGGACAGAAATAAAAAGTAATACCAGGAATGCAAGATGTGCTAAAATCACAGATAAAGTAGTTCCAGCGAAATAATTTGTTATAATGTAGGCATTGATAGTAGCAATAATGCTGTGAACCGTTGCAAAACCTGCAAAAAACGTTATCAACGTTAAAATTTATGTATAATTTATTATTTATAATTATTTATTTGTAATTATAATTATTATTTGTGATTTGTAATTATTTATAATTAATTATTTATAATTATTTATTTGAAATAAAACAACTAAAATTAAGTAAACAAAATAAAAAATTCGTCTTCATATCAATTGAATCAAAAAACTGAATTTATTTTGACCAATTTATCAATCAAGCAAACAATTTTAATAAAAATCAGGAAAAAACGATGAACCTAAAAAAGGACCAACCATAATTAAACCAATAAAGCATAAGACCAGTTAGAACAAAAAAAACATGCTGAACATTTCGTGGTGCTTTAAAGAGAAATGTTCGGTGGATCACAGCTAATGGATAACCTGAAATTCATAAAACTTAGATGAAATCTCGCAATATCAAGTCAAGTGTTATGTTGTTTCGATCAAGGTACAGTTATCATAAATTTTACTTCTATCTTCTGATGAGAGAAAAATTATCAATGAGAGTGAAATTCAGGAGCTGCTACATGCTGATCTACTTTAATCCTCAATTGACTTTCTGCTGGAAATGCCTCCTTCCAACAATCAGCCAAATGAGCAAAATCAGAAAAAAACGTCTTCTGATATCAAAATAAAACAATTTCGACAACTGACTATTTCGAAATAACACAAATATTGATCTCATAAAAATAATTAATCAATGAACAAATGATAAGGTTTGCAGACTACGAAAAAGATTTCCATAAAAGAAGAGATAAATGATTTACCCGCAAGAATAGCAATAATGAGTCTCAAACCATCTTCTCGTGCATTGAACGCTGTTGACAAAGAATCTATTAGACCCATATTTGAACCTTAAAAAATTCGGCCTTAGGAAAGTTAAACCTGCATTGATGCAGTCGAAGTGTTTGCAGTATACGCGGAAATGGATTAAGTGAAACGCGGAAAAATCTTATTTTCAATATAAACTCGGACGTTCCGTACTACCCATTTCGACGAACAACGCTGACGACAGCATCCGTATTCTTCCTCCTTGCCATTTCACCATCCTTCTCCACCATCTTCAATCCTTCACAATAATTTACTTTACTGATTAAGAGGATCTCTCCTGCAGCTTGCTGATCATTAATTTATAGAAATTCTCCTTCATTTTTGTTTGGTTTTACTGAGAATTTCTCAGCAGAGAATCAGCTGGCACAAGAAAACGTGGATTTCCAGCACCACTCGCATTTCACTTAATGACAAATTGGCGATAATGGGCCGTAATTACTCAACCGCTTCCCAGCCTTGGACGAACCTCTTTTCCTCTCTCTCTGCACTATTCTTCCTCTGGTGATAAAAGAAGTAATGAATAGTAGAACAGCTGTCTCAACAGCAGAAAAGTACAGAAATGAAAGATTTTAATCGCATTTCAAACCTGATGCGAGTGGGATTGTCGAATGGTTTTCGATGAGTGCCAACCGCAGGCGATTCGCTGCTTTTATTACTGGCGCCGACCTGTATTTGGACTCTGACTTCTGCCGATTTTAGCCAACTGGGTTAGCCAAACCAGAAATGATGATTGCTACTGGACAGTTAAGAGAACGTGAAAATGGTGCATCTGGCAAAGATTGACTAATGGCGAACATGAAAATAGGACCGGTGAGTCCTGATTCGTTGCAAAACTTCCGCAACCCTTGCAAAAAATTTGATAAAACAGCCCAGACTTTGTCGTTTTTTTGTAGTGCTAAACGCAAAATTCAACCCATAAAACAAAATACGCATAATTCGATCGATTCGATACTCAGAAAGTTCGACATTTATTTAACAACTTTCCTCGAATTGGTTTATTTGAAGGGAGTGCAGGAATGATAAAGAGTGATAAAAAGTGGGTTATGTGGGTAACTATATTATGGGGGAATAAGCATTTAAAGAAAAGAAGCCCTTATACATTTAAATTGCTGGATAAATAGATTTAAGGTAAGATTTTTGACTGAGATATCACAAAGTGAGATATGTGAGATTCTTTAAAGAGATTGTCAGTTTGATATCAGAGTAATGCTAAAAAACGCTGATAAGATAAGAATGTGTAATTACCAGATACGTACGTTGATAAAGTCCATCACAGTTTATTTTCTTCAAATGCTAAAAATTTCATTTTTTTTCCAAAATGTGCCCTATTTATGGTTCGGCTGAAACTGCCGACTATTAGAGTGAAATCGTGCGGTCCTAGCATCGGAGGGTCATTCGCAGTAGCGATGCAGGTCATTACCCGTATTCTGCTTCTAATGACAATTTGTCACCTACATTCTTGTTCATTCTTGTCACTGAAACGAATCTGTGATATTTGTTGCTAATAGGAAAGATAAATTCACCAGCTACCGTGTTTTATCTTTTATTGAATGTTTCTAAGAGTCAATGTTTTATACAAATAATAAATCGTTTGATATACGGCAGTTTTTCGGTGACTCTTCATTTGAATCCAAACTGCGACGTTTCCATCTTTCGTTCAGAAATTTCTTGGGGATTGTTTTCCGTTCCGCTTTGCGGATATTTTCTATTTCCGGAACGTCAAATTCTTTTCTATAAGAATTAAGCTAAGTTCTTTTAAAGGATTAAAAAAATTATAAGTAATTAAATTATATAAATTAAAAGAAACTTTTCTCTCATCTCTCTGTCCTCATCCTTATCGCTCACAGGGTGGCAAAATCATCCTCAACATCGGGTCCTCTCGAGGCCTGTGAGAGTGAGGGTTCTGCACGGTATCTTAGTTGTTCCTAATAATTCGCCTTCTGGACAGAATCTCATTGTTCCTGGAATATGCTGAAATCATTTTTCTAATTTAGAGGACAGTTCCAATTATTATGCCTTTACTTTCCACATCCCCAGTTCCTTTTCCATCCTTTGATATTTTTCCAATACTTTTCATATTCCTTCTTTCTTCCAATCACTTGGTATTGCTATATCTATCACCAGTTGATTTCTGATTCTTCTGTACCATCATGATATATGGTTGATTAGCCAGTATTTGTTTGTCTATCCGGATGCGGATCTTATATATATATATATATATATATATACATCTCATGTAATATATATATACATATGTCTTCTTCACACCATTACTATTTAGGCTAACTCCAATGGCTACAAGGTAAGATGCTTTCAAGAGGCGCAGTCAGGTACCATTGTCGCCAGTAATAGAAGCCATTCCTTTTTCCATCGTTTAAATCTATATATTGCTGATCCATCTATACGTTCAAAATCTTTTCTGACCGTATCAGTCCAGCTCTTGATTGGCGGCCCATCTCGCTTTTGACGCCATCCATCACACAATTTAGTAACGATATATGCGATAATTCTTGTAATGGACCTCAGAGAACGTGCCTTAACCATCGAAGACGATGCTTTGTAATAACATTAATACAAGTGGTATTTAAACGAAGATGAATGTGGTATTTTATCCGCTCGACGGACCCATAAAATGTACCTTAGACAAGAGTGGTCAAAGGTAGATAGCTTCATAATATTCTCATAATATTCTCCATTCTCATTGGCCATGTCTCAGAGTCATATAATAAAATCGAGCGAATCACAGCTATATAGATATGGACTTTCGTTTTAATATTAATTTCACGACGGCTCCATAAAGGTTTCGTCAACCGGAAGAACACATTTCTAGCTGCAGTGGTCCAGGTTGTAATATCGTATTTTGCATGGCTATTTGGTATAAAAGTGGATCCAAGATATTTAAAATCGGGCACTTCCTCAACCGGTAATGAATTCATAAAAAGAGACATTTTATCAGCTTCTTGCACATAAGACGAAAAGTCTTTCGTTTTATTTACATTGATCCTGAGTCTTATTCTCGCTGCAGTTGCTGACACGTTATACTGATCCACCTAATGTATAAAATCCCATATAATTGCATCCATCTTCGCTCAAATACCACTTTTATTAACAGTAGCATCAAAGAATGTTGTATTTGCTGCTTAGCGCACGTTCTTCGTAGCTTAGAGGAGTTGAATTGATTGATTTTCGTTACTTCGTTATTTTCGTTCCTGTGAAGGATGGCGTCAAAAGTGAGGTGGTCCAATTAAGAGGACTGATACAACCAGGAAAAATTTTGAATGTATAGGTGGACCAACGATATATGGACTTAGACGGTGGAAAAAAGAATGGCTTCTATTATCGATGACCGACCAGCTTGGACGTCTTATCGTTGTAGCCAGCGGAGCCAGTAATAGTGAGAACTGTTAAAAGAAGATCCTTCATCAGGTTTTTTCTGGATCAAATTAATTCGACCTTTTATTCTAATATCTTAACTTAAAATTAAAGGTAATAGAATTAACTATAGAATGTGAGTAATTTAAGTACTTAAACAAAATTTAAGTAAAAATTAAGAATTTCATTGATAAAATCCGTCATCTGTCAGTCAAACAATGAATGGTCGGAATGCATGATAATATTTAAGAACTGCTTTGGTGAATGGCACGAAAATGTTATTACTTGTTCAAAAATGCTCAACAGCCAAGCCGTGATATCACAAGTCCATCTGGTGTATATGTAGAATAACTATGAATATGTCCTAAAGTCCTATTCCACTATCAAGTACATATCCAGATGTTCTTAGCGTATTCCTTCCGATTTCGACTGTTTATCATATTCTTATTTTCTTTTGTTTCAAAATTTCTGAAATTTGATAATAGCGGCGATTAAATGCAATTTAAAAGGAATATAAGCAGTTGATGTTGGAAGCGCATCTATGCACCTTACGCACCTATGCACCTATAGTTCTATGTGAGCGAGCAGTGCTGGCGATATTTCCTTTTTCATTCTCTCATAATCGCACTGCAAGCAGGCAAACTAGAAATCATAAGCTCTTATATGTAATATGTAACATGGGTCGTACTAATTATGACAAAAATTTAAGGCTATTCTATTTATCGTAATAATTCGTTAGTTATTAAGAAATTTCCTGTGCTTACTAATTTATTTTATTAATACATATGCGACGATTAAACAAGCATATGAGTGATTAAATTCTTTTAAAATGTGGGTCATCGCACATAGAAATACATAAATTAACGAAGGGCACCAACTGACACGCGATTATTTTCTCATTTCGCCCAAATTATTTGCTATCTCTGCAGTCGAAATCAAATCACCGACGACGACATACTAAACGACCTAAACGGTCGACCTGCCAACTATATTGTAAATGCTTCGATTTCGGTTGATTTTCGGTTCGGTCGATTTCAGTTCTTTTTTCTCTTGAATTTTTCTAATGTTTTTTGCTGTTATTTTTTATTAGAAATTTTAATCTTAAATCCAGTCAGTTGATTTAATATAATTAATATAATTAATAGTTTGAATAAATTATATGAATTAATACAGTTGTTGGACATCGAGGTGCATCGACAAGCGATTCTATTAGAATCGGTTTAAAGGCAACACATCAGTCGAGTCAGCCACACTGAAATGTTGATTGTGGATTCTTAGAAGACGAACAATAACCAGGCCAAGCCCCCCCCCCTCCCTCCCTTATAGGCTCTTTTATTCGATCTGTGAAACTCCATCTTCTTTTCTTTACACTGGGTTGTTCGATGTTTTTATCTCCCGATTTATATGAAATGATGTATAATTTTACAGCAGTAATAAGTGATTCTTTGCAAAAATCTAGGAACTCTTTCTCGCAAAATCGATTCGCTAAGCTAAAAAGTCGCTTTCTTCAGATATTTAAACTAATTTTAAAGAAAAAAATAGATTTTCAATTCCTTTTTTATGTTAATATTCAGTCTCTAATGTCTTATGTTCACTCGGCATTTCTGGCTAATTGGCTATTTACTCAATTGACTGGTACCAGA